GGGCCCCCCCCCCACTTTCTGTCACCAATGCTAGAAAAAAAGGAGTGGGGAGGCCCAGCACAGGCACTGGCCACCGGTGGGGTCTGACAGGTTCAGCCCCTGGACCGAGGATCGGGGAGGACTCGGGTCCATCTCAACCCAGAGCACTCAGGGTGATGCTCTCCCACCGACTCCTGTGACGGATCCTGTCCAACTTCTGTCCCAAAGCGCACAAGGGATGGCCAAACTTTTTCCTTAGCGCTGTCTTTATTTTTACAGGTTAACACTAGGCATGGAGGACATCCAAACACTACGACAAAAGGCCCGTTTGCCTGAGTCCACACACCAGACCTAATTCACATTGCTACACAGACCAAAAATGAATGGGAAACAAGACAAGGAACACACAGAGCTTCAGTCTCCTGGGAGGGAAGGAGGGAGGGACAGGCCTGGCTTGGCAAATGCATCTGCCACATGGGAGAACGAAGCCTTTGAAGGCTTTCTGGAGCCAACAGGGATAGAATAACCTGAAATGTGGGGCCGAGTCCCTCCGGAGGCATCTCGGAGTGAGCAGGCTGGGAAGGAGGCTATACGTTAGGCCTACCTAGGTGGCAAGATTGCAGGTTGAGGGCCTATGCTTTACCACTAGGAATAGCTCGCATGTTTGGGGACCCCCTTAGCTGAAGGGGGAGGCCCAGGGGCCAGTTGCAGGTACCCATTAGCTGCCAAGCGTCTGCACCGTGAGGAAAGCCCTATCTCTGCCGCTCAGCGGGGTCAGGTGAGCACCGCACACACAACGCTCCCACCGTACAACCCCTCTCGTCCTCCTTCACGCACTCCTCTTCAGCCTCAGGGCATTGTCCAGGGCGACCAGCTGGCGCAAGAAACCCCGGTTGGGGATGATACCGCGGTGGTCCTTGACCGTCTTTATGGCTTCTACAAGGGGCATGTGGTGGCGGATCATGAGGTAGGCGAGGACCAAGGTGGCCGACCTGCTCACCCCGACAGCACAGTGCACAAGGATCCTTCCTGGGGGTGAAACACAGGGGCTGTGTCACAGCAGACCAAATATCCCAGGTAAAAAAATACCGAAGACCCAACCGCTTGCCATGGTGCATCCTGGAGCTGTGGCTCAGGTGTGCAGCCCCTGGGGTTAGATGTAGGGCCCCAGCTATAGGATGACTGTGATGCACTGAGGTCCCCCTCTTGGCAAAGGGTATCACTGTATCGTGATCTCCCAACACAGACTGAATAGAACCAGCCACAGCTCAAGACACAGATTGGAGCTGCGACCTGGGGGGCCAGTGTTCTCATCTAGCCTGTTCCCTCTTTAGAGGAAGGTGATCCAATGCAGGAGACACCATCCCAGGCTAGAAATACCTTTGTTCTCTAGGATGCTTAGCAATAGCAGGTCAATCTAGCTTCCCACCTGCCCGGTGCAGTTTCTTCCCATCCCTGCTCCCCACTTCTCTCCTAGAAACCTTTACCACCGACCTTCATTCAGCGCTTGGTGGATGAAGTCAGCTGCAGGATAAAAGTAGGGGCTCATGTCGAAGGAAGGTGAGTCATGGGCCTCGATGCCCAGGTAGCGGATGCCCGTGCCCTCGTAGTACTCAGCACCCCCCCTCCACTTGCTGTGCGAGGCGTTGAGGATGTGGGTGATGCGCAGGTGAGCCAGCTCGCGCCGGTTGGCCGCTATATCTCTGCAGAGAATAAGAAACAGCACAGAGATGCATAAGTTTAGACTAGTTAAAAGTTTCCAAGGACAGTGTAAGGGCTGTCCTGGACAAACATTTATGTCTGAGAAAGCTGGATGCAAAGGAAAAATGCCAGAGCCTTAAGATTATTGAATTTTAAGTCAATCTCACAGTCCCTGACTCCACGGACACTCCACCTCTGCCTACCCCACTGCAGCGGTGCTCTGAACTCTCTGCACCGCCGTGCTTATGTCCCCCTTCCTCCCCCTTTGTCCCTGTGTACAACACCCACTGTGTCCTCCTCTCCCTCACATTTCCCAACCCCTCCCTCTCAGATTTCCCCATTTCACAAAAATAGCCCTGAACCCCCCCAGTTCTCATCCCCTTCCGATACATACTGATCGCCCAGGTAGAGTCCTGGCCAGACCTCATCAGCATGATTACAGGCTGTCTTTCCCGTGTACAGCAACCTTTCGAGCTCGAAGACGCTGAGGATGGGGCGGTTGTTGCGCTCTTCCCGTGAGCCCCGGCTCGGTGACCTGGTGCCATTCCTGGAGAACCTCGACAGGAAAGCCATTGGAGCTGCCGAGACCCACAAGGCATACCTGTGGGTTCGTGAAGGCCGGAGGGTGGCCTGGAGGTCGCTTCTGCTGCTGCTGCCACCCACGGTCCTGTCGTGGAAGCAGTGGAGATGCCATTAGAAGAACTGGGGACCTCTCGTGCCATCTCTTTCATAGAAATACTGGCCCAAAGCAGCCAATTCTCACCTTCCTGATGAGAGGGCTATGTTAAGTCAGCTACCCCAGTGTGAGACCGAGTATCACCTACACTCCCTTCCAAGAAGCAATACTGCTGGGGAGAAGTTTGCAATGCCAGGGCTGGTGGGGGAAGCCGGAGAGGCAGCCAGATTGCTGAGTCTCCACAGGCTGAGGTTTTGCTCCAGCCCCACGACTTTGGGTTGAGGCCACATTGGCAAAAGATGTTCTACACAGGACCACCTTCCTTCTGAGCTGGCTCTGGGGCTTTGCCTGCCAGCGGGACAATGCCAGCTCGAGAACTGATGCTGCCAACCTGTGATCAGAAGCAGTGAAAGGCAGCCAGGTCTGGGCAAGCCACCAGGACTGGGGAGGAAAAGCCCCCAGACAGGTGGAGGATTCCATATGGCACCACGCAGAGTCTGGCCAGGACCCAGGCTCCTACGGACCAGGCACAAAAGCCTGTGGGGAGGGAGAGGCAGGATTAACCCCTCCAGGTACAGCAGTCCTGCAGCTGCATTTGAACGTCTAGGACTGGCTTGGGGTGGGAAGAGTTAATTTCAGGGGATGAGAAAGCTTGTTTTACAGAGTGGATCCCCTAGGACACAGCTCTGCTCTCAAACCTTTAGATCATGCCGATACTTGTCACACATCTGCAAGAAGCCTCCCTGGACAGCCTTACCCATGCAGAGCAGCCACCAGTCCCTGCAGCCAGACATTCGTCAGAGCTGCCTTTTTTTGCTCGTTTGCTACTGCCCCACTGACAGACACCCCCCCGACATGAGAATACAATTCTCTTTCCCACCATCACGCTGCTGCCCTGAGCTGCCCTGGAAGGTGTCCAAGGAGCATCCCATCGCAGTTTCCCCAGCAGCAGCTCAGCACTGGCCGGTTGTCTCTGGGACTCGGGGGAGGAAACGCAGCGACCTTGGGCTGGCCAGGCTGGATCAGAGCATGTCTGTCTGCTTTGACATTTTGCCTAAGGCACCAGCCAGCAGCCAACAGTGCAGAAGGAAGAAGCCTCCAGCCATTTCTTGGCAATGTGCAGAGGAGGAAAACATTGCAAGGGCATAGGGGAGCTCAGAGGGAGTCCATGGACGTCTCCCTCCCCACTCCCTGTTCCAGGGTGGCAGTTCAGACCCTGCCTGGCATCCTGGGGTACTGCATGGGAGAGGTCAGTCCTGCCCGCACTGCTCATCCCTGGCACCGAGCACACCACACTCCCCCAGCACAGGGTACGGGCCAGATCTCACCCTGACACATCTCCCCTGCCCTGATGAATTTTGGACTCCTTCATGCTGGGAATTCAGACTTGGCAAACCCCACCTGGAAAAGGCATTCAGCATGGCCGTGTGCCGGGGCCCTTAAACCTTGTGTAACCTTGGCTGCAGCACAGCCATATGCCACCAGCCCCGGGCAGCATTAAGAAACAAACAGCAGAAGGGTCTGAAAAAAGCAACTAAATCATCAGTATAAGGCTGTAACTAGTCAAATAGCAGACCCTCTTATTGCTACAGCCAGCTGGAAAAATAGCAATCCACACCTATCCTGGGGTGCAGCTCCAGAAACCTCAGGCCCAAAGCTGGCTTCCAGCATCCCACCCCCAACACACCACCACGCAGCCCCCACAAACTGCTTCAAGGGGAAGAGAAACTGCCCCACATCCAAGCCCTCAGAACAGACCCCAAAGCACTCCTAGCACCCAAAATCCTCACAGGCATCGGCTGTAACCCCCCCTTTTGGCAGCCAAGCCCTGCAGCTCCAGAAACCTCAGGCCCAAAGCTGGCTTCCAGCATCCCACCCCCAACACACCACCACGCAGCCCCCACAAACTGCTTCAAGGGGAAGAGAAACTGCCCCACATCCAAGCCCTCAGAACAGACCCCAAAGCACTCCTAGCACCCAAAATCCTCACAGGCATCGGCTGTAACCCCCCCTTTTGGCAGCCAAGCCCAGGGGCTCGGACCCCACTCCCCCAAGCACGCTATGGCTGCCAGCCCGGGGCCTGGGCCCCCACCCCCCCAAGCCCGCTTATGGCTGCCTCCGGAGCCCCTCTGCCAGTCCTGCCATGCTCGGAGGGAGGGGAGAAGCAGCCAGAGCCTGCCTGGATGCACAGAGCGAGCTCTGAAGAGGCATCGCTGAACGAGCGCAGGCTGCTCAGCCCAGCACACTCCGCAGAGACAGACAGACAGACACGCAGGAGGGAGGAGACGCCCACCCCGTTACTCTACCTTTGCGAGGGCTGTGATTTCTCGGCTCAAAGTGAGTGTTGTAGTCAGATCCAGTCGGCCATGTCTTCCTGCTGCTGCCGCTGCTGCTGTAGAAAGGCTGATGTATGAACATCTATTTTAAGCCATGACATGTCCAGAGGCAGGTTTGTTTATACCATGCTGTGCATGGACGGCTAAGGGAGGAATGAGGGAGACGGACACAAATGCAGAGATCGCATGCAAGCATGCACAGACAGACACGTAAGTGCCCATTACTACGCAGACAAAAACAACAGCAACAATAACATATCAAAATTCTCCTGCCAGCTTTTCTCTCACTCCTCCTCCAGCAAAGCAAAACCCACAGGCGCGCAGAGGAGAGAAGAAAAAGCTGATAAAGTGGTGCTGATGAAATGATTACCCATATCATAAATCTGCAGCCATCTCTAGAGGATTCTTAATATTTTTTTTTTTTTTTACAGTTGACCTTGGCCTCCCCCCTTGCTAGGGTCGCTTTGGCAGAGCCAGAGCTTGGTGACATTTTTTTAATTTGCTAAGAAAATAAGCATGGGGGGATGTATGCGGTGAGATTATAAACTATTTATAAATTCGTGTCAAAGTCAGGGAATACCTTTTTCTGGGGGGAAAAAAAAAGGAAAAAAGAGGAAACTCAAAAGATGGAAGGTTTTTGTTTTGACATTTTCTAAATGACACTGTTCATTTCGGAAGTGCTGCAATATCTCAGTGAAACATTTTCAAAGCAGAATATTCTCTTCTTCCCTACGAAGTGCTGGCTTTCAATTTAAAAGTTTGACTGAAATCAGAAAGTAGGAGTGTGGTGGGAAAAACAACCCAAGGAAAAACCGAAACATGCTGTTCCAGGCCAAACAACATATCCTAAAAAGATTTATGGCATTCCCTCCCCCACTCCTGTTTGATTAAAACCCAGGAAAATTTCCTGTTTTGTTTTCAGCTGAACTTGTGGTTATCCCAGGATGCAACCTCAGAAGCTTCAAGGATGAACTCGGCATCACCAGAAAGCCATCCTGTCCCACCTGCACCGCACCCGATGAAGTTTAGCTGGGCTTTTTCAACACCCAGCGCAGACAGCCCAGGTCCCAGGAGCACAGCCTCAAGGCAGCATGCACCTTGCAGTGTATCACAGGCCTGGGTTTTTTTCCCTGCATCATGCATAGCTAAATGGCAGGGTTGTCAGGAGCTGTACTGGCAGTTAACAGCATACATGGGTTCAAAAAGACTTTGGACACTCCTGGATTTCAGAAATCTCAGCCTTCCCCATGAAGTTCCAGATACAGCTTCAGCCTTGGAAGTTGGTAAGGCCCCAGAATCATAGAATAGAATAATAGAACCACTTTGGTTGGAAAAGACCTTTGAGATCATCGAGTCCAACCTTTAACATAACCCTGCCATCCCACCACTAAACCCTGTCCCTAAGCACCTCATCTATCCTTCTTTTAAATACCTCCAGGGATGAGGACTCTACCTCTAGAAGCTGGAGGATATGTTCAGGAAGGCATTTGGGATATGCCCCGCTCTTAACCGCTTTCCCCACACCATAACTGCTGGCTGCAGCTGGGTACCAGGGATGGTCAGGTAGCTCCACTGCCACCAGCCGCAGGCACAGAGAGGCAGAGCTACTAGGTACAGCCCTGCAGGCTGGCCAGGAGCAGCCTCCCCCCATCTCCTGGCATGGCCTCCAAAAATCTCCTGCCTTCAAGAAATGCTGCCCTCCTGCCATCTCCCTCTGCTCCCAGGCAACAGGCAGCGAGGAGCAGTTGCTGGTCCCACCCTTTGGCTCCTGTGCAACACATGAGAAGCAGCACCCAGAGACCTGATTTATCCCCTTCCTCCATGGTTTGATCCAGCTCCTCCGTGCTCAGACTCCCAGGGGCACACAGGCAACAGCAAGGTCCTGGGCAAGGGCCGGCTTCGCTGTCCTCACTGAGCTAAGAGCATTTCACTGCTGTCTGATGCTGCCAGCTTGGGAAAAACCGGTCCCGCACCACAAATAAGGGGTTTGATTCCACTTACCTGCAGAAAGGTTGAGCTTTTCACTTCTGCCTGGCAGTGCTCCTCCAAAAAACAGGGGTTGAGTGACCTAAAAGGAAATTCGCACTTTCACAGCTCTGCAAAACAGCTTTCATGTGGACAAGCAGAGGCCCTCTCCACCCCCCACCCCCCCCCGCACCAAGGAATTACATTCCCAGTAGTCTGTGAAATGTGCTTCTAAACAGAAGTGCCTACAACCCCCATCACAAAAGGTTAAATCTGAATTTAAAACAACTACATGAAATAAAATTAGGTGGATAAATGTTTTGGCAGAGCATTGCCTGCAGGGAACTTACTGGTCATTTAAACAGAGGATTAGTAGTTGTTATGTTTTTATTCCAATAATAATACTGGAATAGCTTTGTAAAGCAGCCAGAAGTCCCCAACAAAGCCAGTGACTGCTTCTTAGATAATGAAATCTCAGATGCTTTGAAATGCCTGGGCAGCTGCATCAAGGAAAAGTGTCAGCAATCTATCTTTTTCTAAGGGAAGTTTCTTAGACACACACCAGACCTCTTTGCCTCACCTCCTCTCCTTGTTTT